AAGCTTAATACACACCCAGACGCAGCGTCAAATCAGTCCAACAACAAAGCACCTTCAAGCTGCGACACAAAGTTGGATTTCGACCCATGTTAGATTCATTTGTGCACCGAATGGAAGTTATTAATTGAGCTCAAATTGAAAGATTTATCATGACTCTTTCGTCAGTGTCAGTGTTAAGTTTAGATGAAGCTGCTGAGGCTCAGTCACATGTTTCTCAGTATTTTATCTCTCCGATCAACCAAACTGATTCTATTTTTTGCCTGTAACACATACACACAATCTGTTTTTACAATCTTTACCTCACCGTGCTCCTCCTTCAGCATGACCACATTCATTTTGCAATTTTGCAGCATGTTGCTTTTGTAAAACACATCTTCTTTTTTTCTGTCTATGCTGGTCAATGTGTCTGTTGGTCCTCTGTTTCTGTACAGACTGAAATATCTCAACAGCTGCTTCATGGATTAACATAAAAATTCTGCCAAAGCATTCGTGTTCCCCAGAGGATAACTTCTACTGACTTTTGTGACCCTGTAATTTTTCCTCTGGCGCCAACAACAAGTCAAAGTTTGTCCTTATTCAGTGAAATATCTCAACATCAACAAAAGGGACTGGCATATAATTATGCACAGTCATGGTTACAAGAGGTTTATATTTGTGGTTTTCTGCAAAATATCTCAACAACTGTCATATTGCCATGTCATGTTCCTCTCAGGATGAATTGCAACAACTTTGTCGACCCCTTGACATTGTGATTGTGGGCATGTTAGCATGCTGACATTAGCATTTAGCTCAAAGCACTCCTTTGCCTAAGTGCAGCCTCACAGAGCAGCTAGCATGGCTGTAGACTCTTGGATCCTTTCTTACACCCTGCACAAAGCAGTGCACAGTGCATGTGTTTTATAGGTCTTAAAGTGAGGTGTGGTCAGGTGCATTTTTGGTGTATTGCTATTCTGAGGCAGCAGATTGCATCACTGACCATCAAAAACCTGGTCTAAAGTCAGAGTGGCACAGTGTTTTCCTGCTTTTTAAAGAGTGCGTTATTCAGATATTCAGATGCACCGGGTTCACACCATGCGTAAATTTAGTTTGTTACACACAGGGACATGCTGATGGGTTGCCGGTGGTTGAAATAATACACTATTAATGAGAAAAATATTAACCACATACCCTAAAATGCGAGCAGCGCTGAAGAGCTGCTGTCCAACTTACCATTAAGAGACGCTGTGCGCATTTACACCTGAGAAGAAGCGTAATTTCACTGATTATTTTAGAAGCTGAAAGTTTCGCTCTGTTTCCTCTGTCAGGTTTATAACTACATGCCCCACGATATTTGCAGTAGTGACTGCTTGTACTGGGCGGCACGGTGGTGTGGTGGTTAGCACTGTCGCCTCACAGCAAGAGGGTTGCCGGTTCGATCCCTTCTGTGCGGAGTTTGCATGTTCTCCCCGTGTCAGCGTGGGTTCTCTCCGGGCACTCCGGCTTCCACCCACAGTCCAAAGACATGCAGGTTAATTGGTGACTCTAAATTGTCCGTAGGTGTGAATGTGAGCGTGAATGGTTGTTTGTCTCTATGTGTCAGCCCTGCGATAGTCTGGCGACCTGTCCAGGGTGTACCCTGCCTCTTGCCCAGTGTCAGCTGGGATAGGCTCCAGCCCCCCCGCGACCCTCAAGAGGATGAAACGGTTAGAAGATGAATGAATGACTGCTTGTACTGCATTACTTTCAGCAGGAAACCAATTAGCTCCAATTAGCTGAATCCGCCATGTAAATAGCTGTGTGCCCAGTGCAGGTACACCTGGCTTGAATTCATGTTACACCCAAAACACACCTATGATTAAATAAGGGACTAAACACAACCCCTTTGCCCCTTGCACATTACTTTGTGCCCAGATTAGGCACCATTTGACCAGCAAACATAGAGCTGGACATGACCTAAATATACTTGGGCCATGCACATTAAACCATGCTCTATAGATTATTTAAATATGTCCCACAGTCTGTGAGTGCTCATGTGATTCTGTTGAGTGAACCTGAAGAAACCACGGGCGAAACTCATTGTTCGCTCTTAATAAAAACACAATAATTCAGTTCAGTGTGCTGTGGAATATGTTGATGATTTTATCTGAGACGTTCCTGCGGCCAACCAGCACCTGATCCTTGAGACTTGCTGTGCAAAAAAATAAAATAATTTTTACATCTAACTAAAAGTAAATATTTTGAACTATTTGTATAGGACTGTGAATATACAAAGCATTCCTGCTCATGATAATCATGTTACGTTGAGGGAGATGCCAGTTACTGATCATCAGTTTTTGACTGTTGCATGCTTCGCCTTGTACTGGTAAAAAGAAAAAAAAAATGTGAATGTGGGGTTTACCACTGATGCTTACAGATAAGAAAAGGATAGGTTTCTTTTTCCTTGTAGGTGATGCTGCACAAATTACAGTCATAGGTTACCTACCACAAACAAGACATTAGCATGCATAGAGATATACAGCATGACGACAAGTGTGAAAAGCTGGATGGGCCTGTAGCTAGGAGAAGAGAGGCGTATGTTGTAATGTTTCAGATGGCTTGGATGTACCTCACTTTAAAACACTAACATATTGCCATGTAACTTTTGTGTTAGTCTGCAAACATCTTGATGTGTTAGCATTTTTACAGTCGTCCACTTGTCCTCAGAAATGATACACCACCAACAAGATAAAACCAGCATCAGCACTGGTGTGAACAATATGTCAAAACACACAAAAATAATGATTTTATAAAGGCGTTCAAAAGCCAAAGTTTGAATTCTGCGCCGCATTTCGCCTCGCTGTTCTGTATACAAGGTACAAAGTTGTGTCGCCTGTAAACCAGCCGCTGAGTAGTAGCAACGCTGAATTGACGTCTGTGTGAAAAGGGACAGCCGGCAGGACGGGACCATGAACAGGACAGGTGCAACGTTTTGACATGTTACATTGGGAAATTTTAAAAGCACTTAGCTGCTAATTCAAGAAGGAGAAAAATGGTTATGTTCCCTAATAGGGCCGTTCCTTACTCTCCGAGCAGAGGATGAGATCAGTCGCCATATAAGAGAGCCGGTGAATAATTGTTATTGCCATGTGATGCCATTGTTGTTGTTTATAATGCGCTGCCGACGCAAATGTCATACGTCACACTAGAGGCTGAGGCTGTTGTATTACGTCACCCCAGATGTACCTCTTTTGCTTCCAGCATGCTGTCTAAAATGACACACTGGAGCGGCATGATGCCACTGTTGTTTGGTCCTGTGTAAAAATGCAAAGGTGGGGTGCCCAGTAAGTCAGTGGGTAGAGGTTTGATTCCAGCCTCATTAAAGGCAAAAAGCCCTCCCCAAAAAAAGCAAAGGTGGCATAAAGACCAGTCTTCATAGAGGCCACATAGCGTGATCTCTGTGTAAAGGCACAAACTCATTTTAACATATTCAAGATGTTTCAGTGCCCCCTGACCTTTCTGCTACACCCCTGAGTTTTCAGTGGCGGAAATAAACAATGTACATTTAACCACGCACTGTACTTAGGCACAAATTTCAGGCACTTATACTTGATTATTTCCATATTATGCCACTTCATACTTTGACTCCACAACATTTCAGAGGCACTTTTTACTTCACTTTATTTACTTTGACAGCTTTAGTTACGTTGCAGAGTCAGATTATTAATAAAAATTAACAATAACTAATGATGTATGTATGTATGGATTAAGCCACCTGGTAGTAACATTTTAATGCCTCAAAGATAACAATTCGACAATATAATAAACTAGAAATAAATGCTTCTGCAATGGGTCATCCTGCACAGTGAGTACTTTTGATGCAAAAACTTTTGTACATTTACTTCAGTACATTTTGAATGCAGGACTTTTACTTGTAATGGGGTATATTTACACTGAGTACAGAGTGTTTTAGTGCAAATGTCTCCTTTCAGTCACAGCTACCCAGCCAACATCTGTATGTGGAACCCATGTGGGTTGTAAACGGGCTGAAAAATGGGCCCTATAAGGGATTGGCCCCACACCAGTTGCCAACATGGGTGGGTTTACCCAAGTAGATAAGATGCCAGTTTTGGGCTCATATTCACTTGGTACTCAGGTAGCCCCAGCATAACAATGTGGGGCCCACTTGGGTAAAGCCATCAATGTGGGCAATTGGTATGAGGCCAATATGTAACCCATGAACAATCCCATATGGGGCCTATTTATCAGCCTGTTTACTACCAACATAGAAATGCTGGCTGGGTAAAGAGTTACACCATCAAACTACTGTATATCTGACCCAGACAGAAATGATCTGCACCACTGACACAGGATATGAATGACTACTTCATCATCTTCCGCTGTACATTTAAGAAGATATGACTAAGCAAACCGCAGTTTACTGATAACTAAAGTACAATCATCGTTTTCATTAAAGTCATCCTTATCATCACTGTTCTCACAAAGGTGTCGACATCTTTACCGATAACACACTCCCTAATACACCTTCATGTCTGAGCGCACACATGAAATGAAACTATTGAACACAAAGACAACAAAACACATATTGATCGTATAAAATACTGACTCCTGACAGAAGTTTTTGGAGAGGTTTACGCAAACAGCGCAAAACGACACAAAAGTTGTTGTTGTTGTTGTTGTGGAAATAAATAACCACGTTTGTTTTGTGAGAAAGAAAGTGAAGCAGGGATTTTCCCTCTCTCAACCTAGACGCACCAGCCCTCCTCTCCTCCTTTAACTCAGTCTTTCCGTTACTTTTTTAGTTGAGGACTCCCCGGAGGGCAGCACAGACAAGGAAACAGAGTCAGGAGAGAGCGCTCACTCGTTCACTACAGCTTCCTGTGCTCGCCTGTCTGCCTTTCTCTCTTCCTCCTTCACCTCTTCCCTTTCTTTCCCCTAAATCCATCTCAGCATGTCACCCACCCTCCTCTCAATCCCCTCGACCCGTCCAAGGTCACTTAAAAAGCAGCGTGGCGGCGTCTTACCGTGCGTCCTGGCTTCGTGCGTCCTGCGGCTGAGCTGCGCGTCGCCACAAGGTCCTGAAAAGAAACTAGTAAAATTCCCAACTACGAGGGCTAGTGTTTTTGCTCCTGGCTTCCCACCACCCGCCTCTCCGCTCCCCTCCCTGTCTCATGCTCTCCCCTCCTCTATTTCCTCCACTCCTCCCTCCTTCTCTCTCCACTCCCCTCCGTGGGCGCACTGTTTGTTTGCTCCGTTTAGTTAAAAATCAACTCGTGGCTTGATAACACGGAAAGTTAAGAATGAAAAACACTAAGCACGAGTATGAGTGGTGTAATTAAAAAGTTTGGGTCAACTATGACTCCTGTTGGTGAAGTTATGAATTAAACAGCAGCACAAACTCTTTGCTGCAGAGGTTTCTGAGGCTGATGTGGAGGCAGAGGAGAAACATGAAGTCAGATTATTTTTCCTATAAGTAAAAGTACAAAAGCTACACTATAAAAATATGCTGTTAGGCTGTGTATTATAGCAAAATATACTTAATAGAGCTGCTTAAATCAGTTAAACAGTTTATGCAGTGTGTGCAACAGTTAAAGGTCCAGTGTGTAAGATTTAGGGGGATTTAGTGGCATCTAGTGGAGCGGATTGCACATTGCAACCAAATGAAACCACCCAGTTGGAATTCCTTCAATGTTTTTTTTTGTTCCAGAGGTTTTAACCAGGAGCTGAATTATCCACAGAGGTCTCCCTCTCTCCAAAACAAAAGGACCAGGTGATTTATACACTGACTAAAGCAGTTTCACATTACAAAGCAGAGTGTCTCCGATGCTGTATGGCAAGTCAGAGATGGGCCTCTAGCCCACCACAAGCCTTTAAATGCCCACCTTTTTCTCTGATCAAGACGTTAAGAAGATTTTTACTGTTGGCTTAATTATCCACACAGGTCTCTTCCTGTCCAAAACATTTCACTAACAACAACCACACCAATAAGTTAAAGACTTTCAATGGTTTATTGCATATGATAGATTATGGGTTTGGAGGAAAGCATGAAGGGTTTAGGATCAAGGGATAAGAGAATGAAAGGTTATAGATGGAGGGATGATAGGAGGTATGATGAAGGACAAAGGGATAGGGTCGAGGGATGAAGGATGCGGGATGAAAGGATGAAGATGGAGGGATGGGGGATGAGGGGATGAGGGTTGAATGAATAAGGGATGAAGGGATGGAGATTTAGGGTTGAGGGATGAATAGTCTCTATATACAGACTATACATTCAGTGAATGTAGAGTCTGTAGGCAAACCCCGGAGATCTTGCCTCCAGAAGAAGAGCGGAAGAGCCCTGGTTTCTGGTGCTAGGCTGTTTGTAGTCCGTGTGATATTGATCAATCATGTTTGAGCCGGCTGCAGTTGTTGCCAGGTTAAACGGTCCATGCGGTGAACTAACGAGGCGGAACATAACTGGCGTCACTGCAAACTCTGAATCCATCGCAATGGTTCAGCATATTTACTTATATATAAACGGAAGTTGGAAACTGAAATTTGTCTCCTCCGCCCAAATCAAACCGGAATGCCAAAAAATCAGGGGGTCTGCCCCCAGAGGCTGTATTGCCATCTGCTGGAAGTCAGACGCCAAAAACAGCCGATGGGTTCTGAGAATGAGGGATGAAGGCTGGGTTTGTGGGTTGTGGGTGAGTGCAATGATAGATGTGTTGGTCAAAGGCAGGAACGCGGTTCCCGCAAGTGAGACTCAGCTTCGGATAGAGACCCCACTGATTTCTGTATGCAGAGAGGAGCAGGCATGGTCTTTGTTCCCGAACCTAAGTTATAAAACTACATATAATGCTGTTTGTTGCAGATGGGCTTTTCATTATGGTGGCTGACGCAAAAACACAAATGTCCCTATCTAGAGCCAGTGTCTGGTTTGTCTCTGCTGGACTGCTGTAGAAATATGTTGGTGCAACATGGCGATCTCCATAAACAAGGACCTGCTCCCTACGTAGATATAAACGGCTCATTCTAACGTAACGAAAACAATTCCAACAATTCCTATTTTAAGGTGATTAATCACCAAAGAAAACATACTTATTTCACACTTATTTCTGCCAATATATCCCCCTAAATCTACACACTGTCAGACATGTAATCAGAAATCTTGACAAGGAAAAAAACAACAGACTTTGAAAGTACTCCCTCCTCCTGCAGCTCTCCTCTCTCTGTTCTAAGCCCCTCCCACCAGACGACTGCAGGCATATGCACGGCTTCATACAGTAACCCAGTGTTTCCCATACATTAATTCATTTGATCTCATCTCATGGAATTACACACAGCTCATTCACTCAGCCCCATCTTGCCCCGCTCCGTCTCTTTGTCTATCAGACCACAAATGAGTTAAGAATTAGCTGCCAGCCACCCCACGCTCCCTCCACCCTGCTCCCTGCCGCTTTGGAGCAGCATCTCTGGACCTTGACTCAGCTGTAGCGACCAGAAATGGGTGTCACAGCCGGCTGGTGGCCAGCATCAGTGCCAGGTCTAACCTGTGTAACAGCAGCAACAGAAAGTTTGCTAATCTTCAGAGAGTCAGGGCTGTCTGGTTCCCCAGAGCTGGGGTTTTTAGCTGGCTGGATTCGACTGGGCATCTCTATAGCTGCTACCCACTCTCCTCTCAGTGAGGTGGTCTGTAGCGGTAAACTATTAGCAGCATTTCTTTCTCCATCTCTGACACACTTCATAATGACGTGTGTTTTATTTTAGTGTTCCTTTCAGACTTCCTTTTTTATGACTCCACCTTCCTGTTTTCAGTTGCTTTGCAGGGCTGGCAGTTCCTGCCAATGCCGAAATAGTAACTTTCTCTGCAGGATTCTCCACCATTGAATCAGGCTTTCACTGAAGAGACGTGAACATGCATCTGCAGTTGTAAAACAGCCAATAGGAACGCCCTCTCTCTGGAATGACCTGTGATTGGCCAAAGTCTCCTGTCAGATTTGCCTAGATTTTCTAAAGCCTGAAAGCGAAGTCTAGTTTTCTCTCAGACCACTTGAATTTCAGTAAGCTCAGACTTTTATGGGTATATCAGCCCATTGACGCCAAAATAAAACTACCTTCCCCAGCTTTAACTGTTTATGTTGTACCTTTGTTCTTCTTTGTTGTCCTTGTTTTCAGCGGTATGTCCCTTTCTTGAAGAACATTGTATGTGCACACATACTTGATTAACCTTATTTCTCCTGTTCTTTAATCCTTCCCCCATCTTACTCTTTCATCTGTTTGTTCCATGCAGTGGTGAAATGTAAGTAGGCACATTTACACAAGTTTGAGGATTTTATACAAAACTTGAGTATGCAACTATCTACTTCTACTCCATTACATTTTAGGATGTAATATTGTACTTTTTACTGCACTACATCTGTTTTTGGCAGCTTTGGTTACTTATATTTCGAATGCATGGCTTGCAACAGACTGTATTTAAACTGTGGTAAAATCATATCTAAATACTCTTTTTGCTACTGGTTGTATGTCTAAATCTCTCAGGTGTCTTTGTTTTACACCACTGACATTTCCCTCCTGTTCTAAGCTTTCTTTTCTGTTTCCTTGTAGGTTTCTGCAGTGTCTCTTTCTGCCCCCCTACCTGAGGTTTCAGTTTCCACGAAGCCCAGGGGAGGAAGCTATTGTGGTTTAAAACCCCAACTCTACTCTGTTTTTAGGGACACTTAGCTAAAACTATTGTGGTCTAATACAAAAGCTCTGCAGCTCTGCAGAAGAACAAAGGTTATAATGTTAAGTCTTTCTGAGGTGATTGAACTTTATGGTTACTGTAATTTCTATGTGTTAACCGGCTGCACCTCAAGAAAAGTTATATTCATCTGTGAATACACTGAGCATGTTGTATTTATTCACAGACACGCGGCAGCATCAGTGAGCCACAGTTTATTCAAATGATGATGTGACCACAAGGTGTCACCAAAATGCCTAAAAAGAAAATTTAATATTTGTTTTGTGTCTGGAATTTCTAATGTAATGTGTCTTTTTGATTGACCCATTGTCACTGCTGAGCTCCTGAGTGGCTTTTTGCGCTAATTATGATATTTAGTGAGGCGTCAGTAGCTTAGTGGTAGAGCAGGCGCCCCATGTACAAGGCTGTTGCCACAGTGGCCCGGGTTCGAGTCCAGCCTGTGGCCCTTTGCTGCATGTCTCTCCCTCTCTCCCCCCTTCACACTTAACTGTCCTGTCCATTAAAGGCAAAAATGCCCAAAAAAATCTTTAAAAAAATTATGATATTTATTGTCCCCAAAATTGTTAGATAGGTGGTAGATGTGGTAGATAGATGATAGATAAACATTAAGTTAATGCTATTTTTAGCATTTGAAGAACAAAAGATAAACAAACAAGTAAAAAAAGAAAACAAAACCAAAAAAGGTGTCGGCCAAAGCCTTAGCCTTTTACACCTACCTTTTTCACATTCATTATTTCTGTCAGCTCCCTTTCAATCATACAGAGCAATAAGAAACTGACAGAAGCTAGCAGTAGTTGCCGTGGCTGCAAAAGACAGATTTGCATGTTGCAAAATGAGTCACCAAACTTGACTTTTAACCCAGTAACATCGATTCCTTTGCTGTGGTTTGAGGTCTGTGTTTAGATATTTGTCAGTCTGTACTTTAAGATGAGCAAAATAAACTGATTTATATTCAGAAATTTGAAGTAAAATACAGAAATTGATGGTGGATGGATACACAACCAGCAGGATGTGTTTTGGCAAACGTCTCTTTGTAATCTTCTCCAGACTTTCCTCTAAACCAGTGGTGGACTGAATACAATCACTATACTTCACAGTGTTGAGGTATTTTACCTCAGTATTTGTATTTTATGACACTTTATATGTCGGTTATACTACATTACACTACACATTATATTATACTACACAAGATATTATATATTGTTTTACTCCACTACAATTTTAGTTACTATTCACTTAAAAGATGATGCATTATTGTAGATTAAATAACCCAACAGTATACAAACAACTTAACATAAGCGACCTCTCAATCAACTACATTATAGTATATATATATTTTTAAATATAAATAGTATTTTTACACTGTGGTAACTGGAAAACTGAATAATATTCTCATTCTGGAGTTTTGGAGACAAAAG